CTTTCTAACGTTTGCTAGGAGAAATCCCATTTTCAATAATCCTCAAAACATTTAGCTCTGGAAAGAAAAGCATCCCTGCCTGAGAAGACCTGTGTCTGCGCTAGCAGGTGCAGCAGAATTTGGAACTTCTGGTGAAAGGTCATATTTCATCTCTGACACCATCGAGCTGAACGCCACGGCCAGAGTTCTAAAAAGCAAGACGTGCTTTCAAGTTATTTTCAAGCACAGCTACATGAATGGATTTTCAAAGAATGTATAAATAGCCGTGTCTAAAACTTTACACATTGAACCTGACACATCTAAGTATCACAAGTTGCTTTTGAACCTCTTAGCCTGTAAAGACACAGTAAAATGCAAGTATCACTTCTCCAAGCACTTTAAAACTTTTAATAAATTAGTATTCATAAACAAAAATCAATGTCTGCCTCAGAAATAAAAATAACAACCTGGATTACTGCTATGCTATGAAACACTTTGCATATTTAAGCAAAGTTGTGAACACTAATGGCTTTTATAAAAGATTTATAGGAACCAAGGAACCATCAGGACAGATGCAGACTGAGTGCCAGGGGAACTCCTGAAATGTATCAGCTGTCAAAGGGCAGCTACAAGGCCATGGGTAAGGCACCAGGGTGAACTCTGAATTTTAAAGTTATGCTTTCCAGACTGCACCAAGATGTGATGGGTTAATTTTCATATTGAGTGTTTCACAAAGATCCTAAGCCACGTAACCCCACTCTAATTTAATGTTTGTGAAAATATTTCAGCCTGAGAGCTAAAATTGTTGTGTTATGGATAATAAAAAAAACACTTAAAAAAAAAAAAATCTATACGGCATTGTGTGTTCTATTTTCTTAATACCATCTCAACAATTTCTGGCAAAGGCAGCAGAAGAAAAGCTCCGTCAATTAAATCGGCGTGAAACCAGAATAACATCAACAAATGCTACAAACTAACAGCCCTCTGCTATGTGAGAGGGAGCAAAAAAAATTAATCCTCCCTCAGATTACTGAAGGCATTTTCCCTGAGGCTGCTACAGGGAGGCAACAGAAAAGCAGAGGTTAAAACCTGAAACCAAACACACACGTCCCCCCAAATGGAGGAATCACATCCAACATTCCCCTGCTCGTTCTACCACGAGAGAAAATACCTAGGAACTCTTTATTTTTGAGTAAATCTGCAACTCAGATTCCTGAAATACCCCCCTGGGTTTAACAGCATGTTCATTTACCTGCTTAGTGGTTGGAAACGGACTCCAATAAGGGTGCAGGTTGATCGTGGTCTGAGTTCGCTGTTTCATTTTGTTTTCAATTATAACAATGTCAGGAGACCTGGCATTTTATCTGCTGCCTTTCATCAATAAAACATCCTTCCATCAGCAAGACACCTGGAACCATTTAAGCCTCTTCAATATCCCAAATCCCGGTTAGGCAAAATGTGTTACCACCCTGACATTCTGATCACAGGCACTGAGCTTTAAAATACCTTGCTGAGCTGCAAGGCCAGCAACGACAGATAAAACCAATAAAAACAATCTTCCCAAATGCAGTTTCCCCTTTTCTCCCATCAGACCTGTTCTGACTAAAGACAAGTAGGGAATTAAAGGAGTCTCTCCTTTTTCTTCCCGTTGTGGTTTGAGGGTTTTTTTTGGCCTTGCTATCCCTAAACTTATTCTGAGGAGCAGTATTGTACAGGTAGGCTCTACACACACATCATTAAAAGGGCTGTCTTACGTGGGTATTGTTCTGAAAATGCAACTTTTGCCATTTTACAAGTTTATATTGACGACTGCACTCCTTTACCAAGCGCTAGTGGTTTTTTATTTCAGTTAAAAGCACACGTTTTTCCTTTTTGTTTTCGAAAAGGGAGAAAGCTGCTTTATTTACTAATGTCTGACTTTGTTTTGTGTTTAAGAAGGAGTGCTCTAAATGTTAGTATTTGTTTCCATCCTGCTATTTATTTTCATTTTTTCCCATTTGTCTTTTCAATTAACCGTGGTCTAATGCATTAAATAAAACATGTCTCTGACAAATGGAACTGTCAACATTATAGGGTTATTATTCTTTTGGGTTTAGATTGCTATAATAATAAATAATTACTAGTGCCACAAAGTTTAAGATCAATCCCAAATTCAGATTCTGGGCCTCCTTTCATTGAACAGGATGTACCAAGTCTGAAATCTTCTTGTGGAATAATCAGACTAGAAATCAGAAGGTAATGTCTGCCTATAAGTATAATATTTTTTAATACACCAGGGATGAAGTACTGAAGAGAATGCTGGAAATCACATGTAAATACCCAAGGAAAACATGTAGCATATTAGCAGTGTCCAGGTGAATAGATTTACAGTGAAATTTGGGGAGTATTAACAACTATAATTCAAATGTACTTCAGCATTATACTGATTTAAGATACCTGTCCGCCACTGCGAAGTTTGAATGTCTATTTATGCTACAAATATGCATTACTGCAACATTCCAACATTCCACGGCCCTGGAACACGCAGGAGCCAAATGAACCCTCCCTGGTTATTACCCACCTAATGCTGTAAGAATACTGCTGTGACATTTTGGCTGCTCGACCATCTTAAAGGTTAATTCTGTTTCCTATTCGAAACGTTCCTCTCGGTGAGCCTTTCCACGCACTCTCTATTTACTGATTCCAAACAACCCCCAAACTGTTTCGCTGCTCACTCTCACTGTTAAGAACATATTGACTGGCTGCCTGCTCTGCTGTTTAATTCATTTATGCTGAGAGTCAGGCATGGAGACAGAATTTTAAATGTGACATTTGCAGGCTGCTGGGTCATTTGAAGCTCTGACAACACCGGGGAGTTCCTGACATACAAACTGGTCCCGATTTTCAATCTTCCATGCTCTGAACACATCACAGATTCTCCCCGAAGGGGCAGGTTCCAGCCAAAAGTTTTTAAATCTCCCTCGTGTTTACACCTCGCAGAAAAAGACTTGTACACTTGAAAGTTTTAAAATAAAGCTTATGTTTCCTTTATGGTAA